CCCGGTAGGAACTGCCGCCCCTTCCCCCCCCCCATGACCTCGGAGGCTCTTCAGGAGGCTCCTTGGTGAACCCTCTTCAGACGGGTCCCGTGTGCCTCCCTTCCTCCCTGTGCCTTTAAAGCCCCCCCCCCCGACGCCAGCGCTTGCTTTCTCCGTCCCTCCCTCCCACCTACCTTAAGACATTGAGCTCTCCCTGCCTTTGTGTCAGGCAAGCCCCCCCTTTTGAGTACAAGCCCCCCACACACACACACCTCAGTTCCTCCCCTGCTCACACAGCCGTGCCATGCGTTTCTCGTTGGTTCTGTCCCTCCTGCGCCCTGTGGGGCCTGTGGTGGTCGGGGTGTCTCTAGGCTTCACGCTCAGCCTTCTTAGCGTTACCTGGGTCGAGGAGCCTTGCGGGCCTGGCCAGGGCAACCTCGGAGATGGGAGTCTGGAGCAGCAGCAGCATCAAGCCGGGCAGAGCAACGCTGCCCGCAAGCCGAACTCTGTGCCCGGGGGCCTGGGCACAGAGCCTGAACAGAGCTGGGAGCCCCGCGTCCTGCCTTACAAGCCTCCAAACCCAGGCAAGCCCGCCAAGAAAACGATCAGGTATCTATCTGTGAGGGGAAAGGAAACTGGAGTGGGTGTGGGTAGGAAGGGTAGATGTAGATAATGGGCACAGGGTGTCCCCAAAGTATTCCTAGTTCCTTCTTTATATCACTCCCAGGCTTCATGGTTTTCCATTTTGCTGGTTATATATGCTTGAAGCTATAGGGATAGTCAGTGCCTTTATTGTTAGGCTTCTGGGGTTCAGTGACTGAATGTGCCACCATGATAATAGTGTACTGGTGGGTCAGTCAGCATAAATATTTGTACACGTGCATTCCCTTTATGTTAGGTTAGTTTACTGAACTACCCACCCTGTGCTGGGTACATTCTGTGTCCTACGCTTGTGAGGTAAGTGTCCTGGGTACATGAGCTTAAAGATGATGTAAAAGATCATTGACATAAGTGGGCTTGAATCTCTGCCTTTTAGGCCACTTGTTGGCCCAAACATGATAAAGCACATCTGTATGGCATAAGAAGAGCCTGTTGAATCAGATAAAGACCGATCTGGTTTCCCAGATAGGCATCTATCAAATTTATCATTATGAAAGCAATGTGAACCAAATGCCTGAAGGAAACTCCCGAAACAGAATGTGAGTGTAGCAGGCATCCTCCTACCATGTTTCCCCGAAAATAAGAAAAGGTCTTATATTAATTTCTGCTCCAAAAAGCGCATTAGGGCTTATTTTCAAGGGGTGTTTTATTTTTTTCATGTACAGTACAACCATCTACATTTATTCAGATACAGTCGTGTCACCGTCTTCTGGTTGATGCACAATGGTGGAGGGCGGGGTTTCACTGAACTGGGGCTTATTTTGGGGGTAGTGCTTATATTACGAGCATCCTGAAAAATCCGACTAGGGCTTATTTTCAGGTTAGGTCTTATTTTCGGGAAAACAGGGTACTTGTCTGTCTCTCCAAATGGTATCTATTCAAAGCCTGACCTTCACAAAAGCCCATTTCAAAGCTATCCAACTTGGAGGCTGTCACCATATAGTGTGGTAGTGAATATCTTTGTTTAACTATGTCCCATATAAAACTATATCCCATGTGAAAGAATGGTTTGTGCTCAGTGTACTGGGACATAGATGTGCGCACATCAGGTTTTCTCTAATTTCCTGACTGCTGATTATTTCCTGTGGCAGTTAGAGTAAAAAGTAACAAAAGTGAACTTTTTATGAAATTCCAAATTCTGTAATGATAGCTCTCTTACGGGGATTCAGCAAGTTGCAAAAAGGCTTTTGTAGTAATTGTTAGCTGGGGATGAAAAAGCTGTAAGAGGCTTTGATACAGAAGAAATGTTATGCTGTGTTCTATAGAACTGTTACCTGGTAGTGAACATTAATCACTTCAGAACTCCGAACCCCCTTCCTGTTGCTTCTTTTGAAATGTCTGCTCTCCTTTTATGATTTCCCAAAGGAAGGTTTGGAGCCTTGGCTCTGGCTATTCAGGAAGTCCTTCAGTACTAATAGCTTCCTCTGGAAGGAGGTGGGCTAGAGCAAGGAGGAGTGGCCATGGCTACTGCCACAATGCCCTGAGCAGGATGTCTGTGGCTGTTCCAGAACAGACTGGGTGAATGAGGGCTGAGTCATGGAAGTTTTTCTTAGGAGTCTTTTCAGACAGTCATTTTTTGACTATCAAATGCAATAGTTATACTAAATCTTTGTATTTTCTTTTCAAGAGTCCAAAATGCTTCACCTGCTTTTTCAAGTTGTCATCTTTACCATAACCTTGTAAGGCAGCGATGAGCAACTGTGGCCCTCCAAATGTTTTCCTTTCCAATCAGAGACTATGGAATTATAGGGACTGCTGTCAAAAACATCTTGAGAACCACAGTTGCCCATTCCTGCAGTAAGGTAAGTCAGTATTATTGTCCCTCATATTGCAGCTTGCAGGGATTGAGGCCAAGAGAGAGTGGCTTGTCTAAGTCCATTGTATATGGCAGAGGTGATTCTCAGTTCAGTCTCTTAGATACTACTTTACACCAGATCGCAACTAGGGTGTTTCTGATATATTTATGAATGTAGCTTTTCTATTGCCATGGTACTGTTGTCCAGTGTCCACTTGCCTGAATATTATAAAAGAAAGGTGAGATGTGCATTTTTCAGCTCTCAGAAAGCAGATTTGGGGAAAGTATCTTTGGAATTTTAAAAACTAAAAAAAATTAAATGGTAAAATGCAGATAGGGTTCTGAACTCTCCTGGTATTAAAAGAACAGCACAGGAGCATTATTTGAGTGTTTCTAAGAGGTGGTGGGAATGTACTACTCCTCTGCTTCCCCTCCAATAATGCTTTTAAAGTTTTAAAAATAATTGTTGTAGCTGAGGAACTTTCCCTTTTCTATTATTAACATGCCCATCTCCCACTAGTTTAAACATAAACAGATACCATTTCCTTTCCTCCATCCATTATGTTTGGACTGCAAATTGTTCCCAGGAATACCCTGAAACAGTTAAAAGGCACTTGGGGCACACTTAGTTGATCGTCTACACAGGACTGTCACACGTCTGGTAAGCTCCCATGTTTCCTTTGGCCAAAGTTTCTGCATCTTCCTGTATGGCTGGATGTGTTAGTCAACATGCCTGAGTATTTATTTTATTTATTTATTTATTTTATTTATACCCCGCCCATCTGGTCTTGTGACCACTCTAGGCGGCTTCCGGATACATAAATAAAAACATACAAATATACACACAAAAACTGTAACATCCGCTAATAAATTAATAGAGTGTTCAAGATGGCAAAAGGAAAGAAGGAAGAAAGAGGTCATCAAGGATTAGCTGGAGGGAAGGCCTGTACGAACATTTATGTTTTCAGTTGGTTTTTGAAGATACCCAGCGAAGGGGCCGCACAAATCACTGGAGGGAGATTGTTCCAGAGGCGAGGAGCCACCGCCGAGAAGGCACGGTTTCTAGTTCTTTCCTTCCGGGCCTCTCTCTCGGCGTCAGGCTCCTCAGCTTCACCTCCTGACTCGTGCGAGTGATACGGGTAGACCTTGGTGGGAGTAGGCGTTCCGCCAAATATCGAGGTCCTAAACTGTTTAGAGGTTTATAAGTAAGCATTAATACTTTGAAGTCAATGCAGACCCAAATGGGCAGCCAGTGCAGCGCAGCCAGAATAGGAGAAATAAGTTGGTACTTTCTCGCTCCACTAAGGAGTCTGGCCGCCACATTCTGCACCACTTGGAGTTTCCGCATCAACCTCAAAGGCAGCCCCACGTAGAGCGAGTAGCATACATTCAATTCAGTCCTTTATGAGGGCTTGGTTGATGGTGGAATACTGATACATTTGCAAAATTACAGACTGATAGAAAGTGCATGCTGCATGTAAGTTCAGAAATATAGTCATAAGTTGGCTTTCAGGTTATGTTTAGAGATATTTCAGATGTTTGTTATGCTAATAAGCAAAGCAGCACACCTAGGAACTTAAACCATATCAGACTGCTTTTAATTCATGTGTTGAATTCCTTTAATATGGAAGGTGTGATGGGGTCTATCTGCAGCCCTCTGTTTAATTTGATGTGACTTTCAGCCTTATGTCAAAAGTCCTCTAAAGGTGATCAGTGCAGACCTCTGGCAAGAGTTGTCTTCATTTCCTGTCATTCTGCCAGTTAGGGAGGACGATGAGGCAGAGAGTAAAAGAGAGAAGAGCGAGTGAGAGAAAGAGCCAAGTGAGAGAGCACATGTGCACTTCAGTTATCTGTAAACAGATGAAATAAAGGAAACTATATTTTTGGTACTGTTATATTTTTCGTTTTTCTCTAGGCCAGGGATGGGAGTCATGCAGCCCTTCAGATTTTATTGTACTGCAAGTGCCAACATTCCTTGTCAGTGGTTAGGGCTGGTAGGAGTTGGCATTTTAACACCACCTGCACCACACCTCGGACCCTGTTCTAGGTGATTTATTGCTGCACATTTTGTCCAGGTTTTACTTCTCCAGTTTGTTCTCACTGTGGAAGAGGCTACAGTTTTGCCATATCTTAACTTACTTTCTGGAAGCTAAAGGTCATTATTTTTGGCTTATGATTAGTTCTGTCCTGGAACATCCTGACTGCAGCTTTCTCGCACATAGTTGGGCGCTGTAGCATACAAACCAGCGTGTAGAAAATATGTCTAAAGATGCTTTGCCATCATGGATGCATCTGTACTCAAAGAGATATCAATAGCTGGCATTGGTCTTCATTCTTTTCTGTCTCACCACCCCCGCATCTCCCTTGCTTGCCTTGGTCTGAAGAGTGTGCTGTCTTCTTTATTTCTCCCCTTCCTAGCAGTAAAGAGCTGCTGCAGATTCTTTCATTCATTTCTCTTTCCCCTATTTCTTACCTTTTACCAAACATAATATGTGGAGGATATTCCATCTTAAAATACCCCTCTGTCTTTCTGTGGGTCCTTCCACCAGATTTTTCAACATTCCACTTACTCTTCTCTCATGTGCCACAAAGTCTAAATTTGAACACTGTCTGAGACTTAATGCTGTGGATCAGGGGCCTAGGGATGAAGGACTGAATGAGTGGTGTTGTCCCCAGGAGGAAGGATGGATGGGTGGGAGGGATGGGCAGGATGCAAAAGACTGAATAAGCCCACTGTGTGTGAGAGTAAGGTTAGAGATGGGGGTGGGCGGGTAGGAATGGTTTCCTGCTCTGTATGAATAATTAAAACCTGCAGCTAATTGTAAGAGACAGGCCACCTGCCTCTGGACTTTTACTGTAATGTCACAGTGAGGCAGATGATTCCCCCTTCCCCCATTTGCATGGTACAGTAATCTCCTTTTGCTATGTGGAGTCTTTACTTCAATAGGAGATGCCAGTGTCTTCTCACTTCCTTGACAGATAATAGATGTTTTTGGATTTCCAGTTGCACCAGTCAGTCTGTGATGGGAACATACATTCCTAGGCAGAATTCCAGTATTTATACCCTCCTTGTCTCTCACAGCTGCCTCTTCTACTCGCTGGGGATTATGATTAGCTTCTTAGCGGGCTGTGTAATGATGGAGACTGCAGATGGCTTCATAGCAGGCCTGGAAGGGGTGTGTTTGCTGGCATTTCATTTTTTTTTTTCTTAGATGGCTTCTGACAAGCAGTTTGGGTGCAATTACAGCATATGTAAAATGTTTGTCATGGTAATCAAATATGCTGTGATTTATGCCTGCAGAATTGGTCTGGCAGTCTCAGAACTTGCACTTGAATATTACAGTTGTATTCTTTGGGTGGCTGATAGTCCAGCCTTTTCATGGGTACTTTCTTTATGGGTTTGAAAAATAGGTTCATATCTTGATGGAATGGGTATGGAAAATGGGTGAATCAAAAACATTGAATAGATGCTTCTCTGTGAGAAGAAAAATGGGCAGAGAACTTCACAGGCTCTGAAACTCTCTATTATACCATTTGTCTCTACAGAGTACTTTCAGGAGGCATTTCCTAGCCTTTTTCTCTTCTTTTCCACAGTATTTGTCAGAATCACAGGTGATCCTGTGGTGAGATCTGTTTGTTCCAGTCTGGGTATGTATGGCATTGTTGGTTGCTTATATAACTACCAGCCTGCAGAGCACACTTAGGGTTGATGAGGGTTAAAGAGCTAACACCCCCCCTACTGTTTTGACCCTTAAGCAAGAGTTAGTGCAACTTCAGCCAAACTGAGCAATGGCTACCAAGTACAGGTACTCTCCTCCTGGTTATTACTGATGAACTAAATTACTGATGTGCTTTAGTCTGTGGTTTCTTTTGGGGACGACTCTGGATTCCCTATTTTGAAGTGTATTAAGAGACAAGACACTTTTATGAGTGATTTTGTTTATTTCTTGTGCATATAAAGCAATGTTCATATTTGATAAATTTTTAGCATGCTATAGTATCTGTAGCATACTGGTGGTACACACAGGACTATTACTATTTATGAATTAATTGTTAAGATGCTTGGTGCTGTGTCACTGGAGAGCATAGGCACAGACAACATGACAGGAATGAAATTATTGGCTTGCAAGCTAAAACGTGATGGAAAGAGGAGGAGGAACTGGAGGAATAAATGTAGCAAAGAAAGATTGGGAATAATTATAGTAACACATATTCATGGCTTAATAACTGGTAATTAAGGCCCCATTGTCCCTCCCTTGTTCCTGCACATGCACTCACCTTGTAAGATGAGCTATATTCATGTTCTATGGTTCTTTGTAGTTGTGATCTGTGTGGAAATGTTGACAGCTTTTGGGCTTTTGCCAGTCAATTGTCATTTTGTCTCCTTGGTTGCCAAAAATGCATGTGATTGGCCCCACATGTCATTTTGTTATTCTCGTGTGTGTGCATACATATTGGAGTCGCAAAGGGTTGCACTATAAGGAAGCAGCTCCAGCTTACACCACTGTAGTTATGTGTATGTGTGGGCTCTAGACAAATTTTATTGAACAAATGGAGCTTGGGAAGTCAGTGTAGACTAGAACCAGAGGCAGCATGCCTTTGTGTATCAGTTCCTGGGGAACACAAGGGCATTTTTGCTCACTTGTCAGATTCTCATAGCCACATTGGCTGGCCGCTTGTGAGCAAATATTGGACTAAACAGGCCTTTAGTTGGATCGAGTGCAATTTGCTTATGTTGTTATCTATTGCCAGTTCTACATGCCTGTGTGTCAAATGTTCCTGAAGGAGTTTGAGGTCTTGCTTAGAAATACATGGCAATGTATTCAGGCATGACGGTAATTTGCCTTGCGTGGATGACACACAGATTGGTGTCTTCAAAGAGACCCACCAGGTAAGCCTCGTTCAGCTCCTGCAAGGCTATCACGGCCGAGCTCGGGAAGCGCAGGTCTGTCTTGAAGTCCTGGGTGATTTCTCAGACCAGACACTGGAAAGGTAGCTTGCAGATCAGGAGCTTGATGGACTTCTGGTAGCAGCTGATCCCCCACAGAGCCATGGTACTGAGGTGGTAGTGGTGAGGCTTATTCACTCTGCTGATTGAGAAGAAAAAACTGCACATGCTCAGCTGTCTCATTTTCTTTCTTTTTATCACCTTCCCCATTCCCAAAGGACCCGATACATCAGCACAGAGTTGGGCATGCGACAACGTCTTTTTGTGGGGGTGCTGACCTCAAAGAACACATTGCATTCCTTGGCAGTAGCAGTGAACCGCACACTAGGGCATCGGCTTGAGCGGCTGGTCTACTTCACAGGCACACGGGGGCGCAAAGTGCCACACGGCATGCTGGTGGTGACGCATGGTGATGAGAGGCCTATTTGGAACATGTACCAGACCGTCAAGTATGTGCTAGACCATTATATGGCTGACTTCGACTGGGTTTTCCTGGTACAAGATGACACCTACACAGAAGCTCATCATGTGACCCGCTTGGCCTCTCATCTCAGCATTGATACTCTGCTTTACATGGGCCGTCCTGAAGAGTTCATTGGTGGAGATACTCCAGGACGTTACTGCTATGGTGGCTTTGGCTATCTGCTTTCCCGGGCCCTGCTCCTGCGCCTACAGCCTCACTTGGAAAGCTGCCGGAATGACATCCTCAGTGCCCGTCCTGATGAATGGTTGGGGCGATGCATCATTGACTACACAGGAGTGGACTGTGTGGCAGAGCATGAGGTGAGAGTTGATTCCATTGAGGGCTGCTTCACTTGGCATGCATTTTCTTTATGGACATAACCTCCATGTAAGGGGAAAGGAAGAATTCCAGTGGAAAGCTTCATAAGGAAAGAAACTGTACAAAGATCTCACTTGCCCTGATAACACATTATGTTGTGTAGAATGTCACACAGGGTGTATTAAAATAGATGATTAAAAAATAATGCAAACAGATTTTTAAAATTTAAATCAATTTTATTTTAGTGAAATGATTTTGGGGGAGAATCTAAAGATAATTTTCTATGTAAGATACATTATAGTTCAAAGGTTATTCAGCATGAAATAGAACTTAGGTAGTATGAAGCTCTTTATTCATGCAGTATTTACATTTTTGGTAAACTAAGCTAATTTAATTAATCCAAGTTATCCAAGCTGAGCTAACATGCATCTTTTCACAGTAAAAATGGTATAAAATGAACAAAGTTCAGGAAAAGACTTTAATCCCATTGTTGTTCTGCAAATCTATGTACAAAGAATGAACACATTGGTGTTTAAGCAAATACGAGAATATTTATGCTATATAATGTTACAGTTTTAGTTAAATAAAACAACTTAAGTAGTTCTCCAAATATGAACGATTAACCTATTAAACTAATCTGTTTTGATATAGCTGTTTTACTAATCTGACAGGTTATTTTTCTAAATATGAAATCTTCATCTGGTTACAAATATTAAAGATTGTAACTACCAGCAAGAATGAGTCTCTACATTTAAAATCAGGATTTAAAACGAGTCTTAATGACTAGTGATTTAAATCAGCTTGATTTAAATCAAATCCACCCTGATGTCACATACGGCAGCCCTAACATGCAGCCAGTGCATCTGCTTTGTTCAAGCTCCTGTTACAAGTTCTGATAACCTTTTTGAATCTCTCAGAGCATGTCTTACCAAATAACGGAGATGGCATTTTCTATAATGGCTATTGGCTGCTTTTGGAAAAATAGATTATTCTTAAACTTAGTGTCATTTTAAACTTGAGCTTTGTTTCCTAGCCACTAATATGTTTAGCTAAAGTATTCAGCCCAGATATTTTTGGAGTTTTGGGGAGCTAATATAAAAGCTGCCTGCATATATGAGTGATTATCTGGACATTGGAGACATTTCTCTTATTTTGGAGGAGAAACTTGCCATGAAAAAATGTTGTAGCCTCCCTTTTCCTGGTAAAAAAGCTTAAACCATTCCAGCTACCTTTTATGTATTTTACTGAGAATGCATCTCAGAGGAAAACTCTGTTGTAGCATTGTGCTGTTTCCTATGAGCCATTCTCAATAAGAGTACCAACAGATGACCGCTGTTCCATTGCTGTTTTGCTTGCTTACACAATACAGTAGTAAGAGGCATGCATATTTGCAGTTTTGGACTATAACTCCCAAAACCATAAATCTAAAATCACAATTGAATATATTTTTAGATTTTAATAATTTCTCCCAACTCCCACAAAAGGAAAAAAACAAACAAACAAGAAATTCTACTCCTTACAGGAGTACCCATACAGGGTAATGGCATTTTTGTCGCCATGCTACTTTAATACTTTCTGATATAGGTTTTTCACTTAGCATGTCTTAGGTCAGTGGTTCTTAACGTGGGCGATAATGCCCCCCAGGGGGCAATTTCATTTTTCAGGGGGGTGGTAGAACAAAAAGGGGCGGCGTGGGGGTGCTGGAGCAAGCCAAACCTGTGAAGATGGCTGCAGCCTTTTTACAATGTGCATGAATATATATTTTCCTCCAATCTTAAGTTAGTTTCAGAGTTTTCGTCTTGAAATTTTTAGTTCCTGCATTGCGGTTTGTTTTTATGCCCCTTTTATATTTCTTTTTGCGTCTTAAAATTCACTTGGAACTAAATCATTAAATGTTACTTTTTTGGGGGCATTTCATTTTCTTGGAATTGAATTTTGTTTTCAGGGGTCATTGGATTTAAGTGTCACAAACAAACAAACAAACAAACAAACAAATAAATAAATAAATAAATAAGGGAGGGGGCGATGATAACTTCCTCAATGGCTCAAGGGGGCGTTTCTTTCAAAAAGTTTAAGAACCACTGTCTTAGGTGATACCAGTATGAAACACTTTTCATTTTTTCCTCCTTCCTTACAATTCTTTTTTATTTAAACAATGATTTAAATTGTGATTTGAATCAATTAAAAAAATTCATTGATTTTTATCCACCAAATCTTTAGTGAATACTCATGGAAAAAGAAGCTTGAGTTGATCTCCAGAGAGGAAGGTGTGCAACAAAGGGATCTGAGACGAGATTGTGTAAATCAGTGTTCTGTTTGACTGAGACTAGTTTCTATGTTTGCAGACAGCCACAATGGCTCTTAGTACAGTTTCTGATTTTAAAATAAAATCATAGTTTACTCTAACTCTAACCTGACACATCCAAAAGTAGGTAAGAAGCCTAACCTGATAGCAGGACAATCAAAGGAATGCGTTTCAACAAGTAATGCTGACCAAGCATTAATTTGGTCAGTCTCTTCTGAAGGCAATAAAGGTAAGTTTTCCTTTTCAAGAAGAAAAAAGTTTCAGAGGTCAGGACCAACTACAGAAAATTGTTTGTGAAAAGAAGGCTGTATCAGAATTGTTAACCTGAATTTCCGACTTCAGTGTGTTTTTCTGTCTTTTTGCCCAGGGCTTACGATACCAGTACTTTGAGCTTGGGAAGAACACAGACCCTGAGAGAGAGAGTGATCCACGATTCAATGCTGCATTCACTGTCCATCCAGTGCTGGATCCTGTCCAGATGTACAGGCTCCACAGATACTTTGCCCGTGTAGAGCTGGAGCACACTTACCAGGAAATTCAGCAACTGCAGGTAAGGCTGTTGACACATCATGTGGGGAATGAATAGGATTCTAGACCTTTATTTGGCTGGGCTGATCATGGGGCTGCTAGTCTTTATCATACAGCCTAATTCATTCACCAGAAAGTCAGGTAGGTTGGGCTGAGCAAGTTATGGAGGCAATTCCTCCTCTGCTATCTTTGAAGCAAGGATAGGCAACTGGTGCCCCATGGCCAAACTTCAAGAACTTTTTGCAAATGATCTGGCAAAGGCAATCAATCCCTCTCCAGCAGGCAGAGACAAGGAGGATTGGCAGGAGGAAAGGAAGAAACAACTTAAAAGAGAGATGGGAAGTTAGGACTATAAGGAGAAGGGATTTTTTCCAACTATTTTTTGGCTCTGTCTTTGCCCACTGCTGGCTTTGGCCCCAGTTTATTTCTGAGACATAGATTTTCAATACAGTGGTGCCTCGCACAACGATTGCTTCATACAACGATGAATTCACACAGCGATGGGTTTTTTTGAGGAATTTCCCCCATCGTTTAACGATGTTCTCTATGGGGGAATTTCACTTAACAATGTCCCTTTTTGCTCATTTAAAAGTGTCTTCAAATGTTTGAAACCTGTTTTAAATGCTTGGATTCCATAGTGCACCTTGTGAAACATGTGCAAACTTAATTTGGTTTTGTTCTGAGTCTTCATTAATTTTTGGTGATTTTTTTATTTTCCCCATTTAAATCAATTGAATGGACAGTTCAATGCATTTAAATAGGGAAAACAAAAAATCACCAAAAATTAAGGACGACTCAGAACAACACCAAATTAGGTTTGCATAGGTTTCAGGAGGTGGGCTAACGATTGCAAGCATTTAAAACCTGTTCCAAACATTGTATGACACTTAAAAATGAGCGAAAAGGGACATCGGAAAAGACTTCAAAAGCACTGAAGCCGGCTTCAGTGCTTTTGAAGCTCTTCCGTTTTCGCTCATTTTTAAGGGTCTTACAATGTTTGGAACAGGTTTTAAATGCTTGCAATCATTAGCCCACCTCCTGAACCCTACGCAAACTTAATTTGGTGTTGTTCTGAGTCGTCCTTAATTTTTAGTGATTTTTTGAATTTTCTCTCATTGGAATGTATTGAACTTTCCATCCAGTGCATTCCAATGAGAGAAAATTCAAAAAATCACCAAAAATTAAGGACGACTCAGAACAACATCAAAATAAGTTTGCATAGGGTTCAGGAGGTGGGCTAACGATTGCAAGCATTTAAAACCTGTTCCAAACACTGTAAGGCACTTTTACAGGAGCGAAAAAGGACTTAGCAAAGCCATTGTAATGTATTGAGTCGGCTCCAACACATTCCAATGGAGGAAACATTGTTTCACTCAACGATGTTTCCTATGGGTTTTTTCACTTAAAGACGGCAATCTGTTCCAATTGGAACGGATTAACCGGTTTTCAGTTCATTCCTATGGGAAATGGTGTTTCACAGAACGATGTTTCACACAACGTTGATTTTTTTGGAACCAATTAACATCGTTGTGTGAGGCACCACTGTATTTAGCACTTCAGATGTTTTGGACTTGCACTCTTGCAATATTTGATCACTGGCCATGCTAGCTGGGTCTTTTGTGAGTTAAATACCAAAGACCGAGAAGCATTATTTAAGGGATGTGGCCTTCACTGTTCTAGGATATTTGAATATTGCCTGTCTTTCCTTTTATTTCTTAAACATTGGTTATATATTAGATTGTAGCTGCCATTATCTCTAATCATTGATAATACTCGTGATGATTGATGGGCATTAAATTCTAACAATATGTGGGTAGCCACAGGTTCCTTCCCTAACTCTAAATAAGATTCTATATCTAGTTGCCCTCCTTATTTCCCATCACCCACCATCCGCAAACACACGCACTCTTTGCTAATCAAACAGAACAAGGAAGAGGTAGCCTTGGTTTGATTATGGCATCCCCCTATTTGCCCTACATGTTTGGCAAGAAACAGAGAACTCTGAATCCTCACAGTTGGGTATCCCTTACAAATTGGCTGAATTATATTTTTAAGATAGGAAAGGGGGAAGTGCCTGCTTGCTTGCTTATGTGCTTTACTTTTCACATTAACTTCTTCTTGCTTGCCGAGGGGGGGGGAGGGGGCAAGGGGAATCCAGATCCCAGTTATGTTTGCTGAATCAAGTGATGGAAATGATTAGAGGTGGTGGTGGTTTGCATGAGAAAAGGAGTGGGCAGTGAAAAAGTGTTAATTACATGCACACACAAGGACTGCTTATGGCTCCCCTTTCATGGGAAAACAGCCCTTGTGTTTCCCAGATTCATGTGTGCTGTTAAGTTTTTAGATAGGCTTCAAAAGCACTGAAGCCGGCTTCAGTGCTTTTGAAGCTCTTCCGTTTTCGCTCATTTTTAAGGGTCTTACAATGTTTGGAACAGGTTTTAAATGGGGGGAGGGGGCAAGGGGAATCCAGATCCCAGTTATGTTTGCTGAATCAAGTGATGGAAATGATTAGAGGTGGTGGTGGTTTGCATGAGAAAAGGAGTGGGCAGTGAAAAAGTGTTAATTACATGCACACACAAGGACTGCTTATGGCTCCCCTTTCATGGGAAAACAGCCCTTGTGTTTCCCAGATTCATGTGTGCTGTTAAGTTTTTAGATAGGCCCGCAGAGATATCTGAGCAGGCAAGGCATTGCTAAATACCATTTTTGAACTGGAAAAATGAAACAGGAATGTACTAGGTGAGACTAAAATATGTCGTACTTTTAGTTATCAGTTAATTTTCCTGAACTTTGGCTAGTTCCATAAAATCTCAAATGAAGTCGTAACTGTGCAATAGATCCCTCAAAAGAAATTCTTAGTTCATATGTGAACATTAGGCAGCAATTGTGCATGCTTATTCAGAAGGCAAAGAATTAAGAAGTAAAGGTTTGTTTCTGGTAGAATGCCAGATGAGTCCAGACAGCCGTCTGCCTTCTAATCTCATTGCTGGGCATAGCACTAGCCTCCAAGGTAGATCTTGAGTCATCGTTTGCAACTCTACATGCTGCAAATCTAGAAATGGCTGGCATTCTGATAGCTTCATAAACTCAACATTCAACCTTTTGGCTTGTGTAACAGGAACAACAAAATATTAAGACACCTGAAAGTATGCTTGAAAAATTATAAAGGACAGAACCAAACTGCATAAAGGTGTTCAGGACTTGTGCTAAATTACATTCATTAGTATTACACACTGAATTTTCCTTTTATTTGTGCTGCTGCAAATTCATATTGGATAGTACAATCATGAGTTTTAAAGTGATTTATTTATATACTGTCCTGTTACTTGGCATTTGAGATGTTTTTCATACACGGTGTAATCAGTCATGTAGGAGAGAAAGAAAAGAAAATCTCCTTTTAAAAATGAGAAATGTATATGTGGGCAAGCTTAATACTTTAGAGAGCAAGGATGTGATCCCCCAAAAGTTTATTTTGGAGGGCCCCTCTGGAATAGGAACAAATTCCCAACGTTATGCTCAGTTGCACATTGACATAAGGTGCAATTTTTGAACAGCAGGTGGTGTCTGAGTGCAGATAAGCATCAGAGTGAGAATAATCACAGTAATTATAATTTGACTAAGCTGACTATACTTAATCCATTGCAGTCTGGTATGAATTAATGAAAAGTGCTTTCTCCTGTAATAGCAGCAAATTAATCTGGCAGGTAAAAACATAATAAAGAATATTGACAAATTTCCTTGCACTGTGAAAATGTTTTTAAAGGGTTGTAAAAGCTGCAGTTGAAAAATTTGCCGACCTCTAATAAATGCTCTGCCAGTGCTGCTTCTGATTGTTACCAACTGGGACCTAATCCCCAAGAAAGTTATTACATTCCTCCTAGCTTAGTCAGCCTGTTGTTACACTGATTGGAAGCATTGGGGAGAATACAGGAACCCCTGCATCCAGAGATCTTGATGTACAGAGGTGAAGTGGCAGCCAGGCAGTTCAGGGTGTATCATGTCTAGGCCAACTGTCTGACCTACGTAAATGCAACCCCAAAATATAAAAAAGTAATATTATAATTCAGGCGAGAGTACTTGGTAAGGTTTAAGGACAAAATCAAAGGCCAGAAATTAGACCAAATGTATTGAATAACCACGAACTCTAGACACACACAATCAAAATAAAGAAAAAGGGTCTATTAATGGCATGTGGCCCAAATGAAATATTATACATTCTAAGTGTGAATGTTGGCATTTCACTTCAGTGGAACATAAAAGCCTGTGCATTAGTATTACACACTGAATTTTCCTTTTATTTGTGCTGCTGCAAATTCATATTGGATAGTACAATCATGAGTTTTAAAGTGATTTATTTATATACTGTCCTGTTACTTGGCATTTGAGATGTTTTTCATACACGGTGTAATCAGTCATGTAGGAGAGAAAGAAAAGAAAATCTCCTTTTAAAAATGAGAAATGTATATGTGGGCAAGCTTAATACTTTAGAGAGCAAGGATGTGATCCCCCAAAAGTTTATTTTGGAGGGCCCCTCTGGAATAGGAACAAATTCCCAACGTTATGCTCAGTTGCACATTGACATAAGGTGCAATTTTTGAACAGCAGGTGGTGTCTGAGTGCAGATAAGCATCAGAGTGAGAATAATCACAGTAATTATAATTTGACTAAGCTGACTATACTTAATCCATTGCAGTCTGGTATGAATTAATGAAAAGTGCTTTCTCCTGTAATAGCAGCAAATTAATCTGGCAGGTAAAAACATAATAAAGAATATTGACAAATTTCCTTGCACTGTGAAAATGTTTTTAAAGGGTTGTAAAAGCTGCAGTTGAAAAATTTGCCGACCTCTAATAAATGCTCTGCCAGTGCTGCTTCTGATTGTTACCAACTGGGACCTAATCCCCAAGAAAGTTATTACATTCCTCCTAGCTTAGTCAGCCTGTTGTTACACTGATTGGAAGCATTGGGGAGAATACAGGAACCCCTGCATCCAGAGATCTTGATGTACAGAGGTGAAGTGGCAGCCAGGCAGTTCAGGGTGTATCATGTCTAGGCCAACTGTCTGACCTACGTAAATGCAACCCCAAAATATAAAAAAGTAATATTATAATTCAGGCGAGAGTACTTGGTAAGGTTTAAGGACAAAATCAAAGGCCAGAAATTAGACCAAATGTATTGAATAACCACGAACTCTAGACACACACAATCAAAATAAAGAAAAAGGGTCTATTAATGGCATGTGGCCCAAATGAAATATTATACATTCTAAGTGTGAATGTTGGCATTTCACTTCAGTGGAACATAAAAGCCTGTGCAGAGGATGATCAGTTAGGCTCACATACTTAGGGCTAAACTGGATGCTAAATGTGTTTTATTCCAGAATTCAACCCCTGAAACTGTAAAAAATGGGGGCGGGGGGGAGCCAGTAGGGTTTTTCTTTTGCAAGCTGTTGCTCAGCAGATAGTCCTCATTGAGGTTGAGGCCACTCACATTCACTTGAGTGTAATAAAGTGTACACTCGTTATTTAACATGGCATATCATTTGACTCTCAGAAATCAGAAAAGCATGTTTTGCCCATTTTTAAGCAGAATGCTGAAGGTTTCCACAAGTCTGAGAGTCAGGCAAAAACAGAAAAAAGGTATTTCCTTGATTTCTGGTGGGAGAACATAGACTACTTGGGCAGAGACAGTATGAGGATCAGAAGTTCCTTGCTCACCTAAAACAGTTTAATTGGGAAACACTTGATCACCTGATATAGTTATGCAAAGCAGTGTGTATGTACTTGCTCTGAGAGATTAGATTAGCAGAGTTTAACCACAAATATATACTTGGGTTTTAATTTCTTCAGCAAAAAGTTACTATCCATGAGATGGGCTTTTGGAGAAATACGAGTCTCTTTATTGTCCTATCTGGAGCCTCCTGTCTCAACCTTTTCTATGCAGAGCTGACTGCAGCTTGGCTATGGGTACTTCCTTTTACAGTTCTTTCCATTCAACTAGTTGTTTGACTTTATGTATTCTGTGACATAGAAGTTGCTGTATCTATAAAAATGTAGTGTATAAGCATGGAGATATGGTATGGCTCAGAATTTCCATGAAAGCAGAACATGCTAAGCCAAAACTCGGGACAAAGGAGGAGGTGGATGTGTGACTGTCTCACTTGTGTTATACAGACTAGAAATGTGCTTTAGTAGGAAATGGCAGCTGAGGCTATGAGAAAGTTGACTTCTGCATGCTTATTGAGTGAGGTTTGAGCCATACTGAATAATACTGCTCTGACTTGTTGTTGGAGAGTTGCAAGTCGCAGACACGCTAAAGACTAAACACCAACTTTCAAAAGAGGCATTGGAGACAGTAGTCTCTCATGTAGAAGAGGGCCGCTGGTTAATGGTAGAGCATATGCTTTCCGTGAAAAAGGGCACATGTTCAATCCTAGCGTTTCCCAGATATTACTGGGAAAGACCTCTGTGTGAAGCCCTGAAAAGCCAGTGCAGTAGTACCCTATAGAAAATACTCAGTGAGGTGGTCTGACTCAGTGTGAGGCAACTTCATATGTTTGAATGACAGGGCCTCCCCCAAATTGCCTGTTCCTAGATTCCAGATACAGTGGTCCCTGTTATTGTCCAAAGATTGGTGCAAATCTTTTTATTTACAAATATATTTGTATTTAGAGGTGAAAACTGTCTGAAATACAGACAGTTAGAATGATGCAGCCTTTCTTCCAGCAGACAGTTTTTTTACTTAATGGGGCAAAACAGTCCATATATGGAAGCTCCAGAACCAGATTCGTATTGTGGGACACTGTTGCCACCAGGTGGCAGGATAGTATAACTTTGCATGCACATTCTTCTCTGATGCCTCTGTTCAACTACACAAGTAATGTGCTGCACCTTGGATTGAGTACTGTATAAGCTTAGCCTTGCCGGTATAGAAGGGTAGTTAGTGCAAGGTTAGTGGGTTGCACTGTTATGACTATTTGAATCACAGGATCTGGTTGCACAGGGCTACTGTTGTACTGAGCAAGAAGCTTTCCCATGTTCTCCGAAGCAGAAAGCTTTTGAATGTTAAAGTTTACTGTTGATGACACCAGTAATAGGTGCCTAGTTGATTTGGGGTGTATTGGAGGAATGGCAGAACTTCATTAAGTAATTTAAATGTTAAGCATTTATGCCAAAGTGAGGTGCATGATTGAGAGCAAGTGGGAACAGGGAGACTGCTAAAGAGTGGCCTTGAGTCTCGGGGGTGAGGGTGGGGGGTTGGAATCTGAGCCAGCATTCAGCCTTGGAGCGAGGTACTGTCTCTATTTCTCCTTCCCCCTTTTGTAAGTGGTCTTTCCCACAGTTTTGTTATGATGAGGACAAATGTTTAAAGATTACATGGTGCTTGATTTTCAAAAAGTGTTTCATAAATGCTCAGTATAACTAATAATGCATGGAAGGCAAGCCTAAATCTCTGAAGAAGGATTTACCTGAAAGGTAAGTAGACTTTTGTACATATGTCTCAGTATAGGGAAAATATTACTAGAGTCTCTCTGTATATTCGCCTCACAATAGTTCCTTTCAGGCTTCTGGGGAAAAAAGTTTTCTTGAGCCTCCCTTGACTCCTTTTCACCTTCTGCCCTTGCAGCTGGAAATCCAGAACACCAGTAGCCTTTCTGCAGATGGCGACTTGAGTGCCACGTGGCCCATTGGCATTGCTCCTCCTTTCCAGCCCAAGACCCGCTTTGAGGTGCTGCGCTGGGATTACTTTACTGAAGAGGCAGCTTTTGCCTGTGTGGATGGGGCCCCCAAATGTGAACTTCGAGGGGCAGACGCTGCTGATGTGGCCGATGTGGTCACTGCAGCAGTGGAGGAGCTCAACCACCGATACCAGCCAGTGCTTCATATACACAAGCAGCAGTTGTTGAATGGCTACCGTCGCTTTGACCCCACTCGGGGCATGGAATACACTCTGGATCTGCAACTGGAGGTGGTGACTCAGAAAGGGCACAGCCGCTCCCTGGCCAAGCGAGTCCATCTGCTGCGCCCCCTCAGTGAGGTGGAGATCATCCCAATGCCTTATGTAACAGAGGCTAGTCGGGTCAATGTCATCTTGCCACTGACAGCTCAAGAAAGAGACTATGCTGCCCACTTCCTAGAGGTCTATGCTGCAGCAGCTTTTGAAAATGCAGAGAATGCTGTGCTGACCTTCCTCTTCATCTATGACCCTTTTGAGGCTCAGCAGGTAGCTCAGAATGATGTCTTTGGGGCGGTGAAGGCACGCATCACAGAATATGAGCGACGCTACACACAAGTAAAGATCCCCTGGATCAGTGTCAAGACAGATGCCCCTTCCCAGATCAAGGTGATGGACATAATTTCCAAGAAGCACCCTGTGGACACACTCTTCTTCGTGGCAGGGGTGAGCACGGAAGTCACCATCGAATTCCTCAACCGGTGCCGCATGAATACCATCAACAGCTGGCAGGTTTTCTTCCCTATCCACTTCCAGGGCTACAACCCCACAATTGCATTTCACAACCAACCATCACCTCTTTCTGGCTTGGATCTTGTGCGTGATGCTGGCCACTTTGACCGAGATGCTTTCAATGAAGCATGCTTCTACAATGCGGACTATATGGCAGCCCGCACCCGAATGGCAACAGATGCCCAGGACAATGAGGATATACTGGAGACCATGGACATCTATGACCTTTTTGTCAAGTATTCAAACTTGCACGTGTTCCGTGCAGTGGAGCCAGCCCTGCTGCAGCACTACCGGCCTCAGAGTTGCAATCCCCGGCTGAGTGAGGAGCAGTATCACCGTTGTGTTCAAAGTAGCTTGGAAGGCCTGGGCTCCCGGGCCCAGTTGGCCATGGTACTCTTTGAGCAGGAACAAGGCAACAGCACATGAGCATGGGGCCTGCATTGACCGGCCTCACCTCTCCCCTGCGCTCACTTTCCATAGTGGCAGAGGAGAGTTGGAAATGACTGTTAGGGCTCTGAACCTAGGGTGGGACTTTGCTTGGCCTGGCTGGCTGTTCTGCAGGCAGTTGTGGAGAATGGGATTCAGAATTGTGGATTCCTTTCCTGCACTTGTCTTGTTGTGTTCCCTACGCAAGTACAGGGATCATCCAGAGCTTAGTGGTGCTACAAGCTTCGAATGAAGGGCAGGCAGGACCTGTCCTGGGATTTCCTGCCTGGGATTGATCTGTGTTACACCCCTGTCTTAGGAGGGCTTTCTGCAGAAGCAAAAGGAAAGGTGGCCTGGAGTATGTTGGAACTAGAGGAGGCTGGATTGTGGGACAGAATCTTGGCCTTTCAGGTGAGGCACCTAGCCTGTCAGGAGCACTGTGGAGCTCTGTGACTGCTGTTTCCTTGTTAATGCTTTAAACTGAGGTAAGAGGAAACTTGTTCTGTGCGGGTGGGAAAGCAAAGAGTTCCTTTTGTTCTCTTGCTCAGTGACATTCCTCCTGGAAACCCTGACTCGGGCTGCTTCAGCCTCAGATTAGTAGTGGAGGTGAGGAAAGGGGGTTACAGATCTGAGGGTAGTTTTCAAGGAGAGTCATCCTGCCCCTGCTGCTAGGCTGGCTCTGGCACGGTGGGAATGGCCTCTATTCCTTGGGTTACCTGCTGTCTTTCTTGCTGCTGGCTGGAATGGAAGTACATGGACTTTGTCTACATCACAGCTTTGTGCAGCTGCCCAGACACTTCAGTGGCATGAATTGTGCTGCAAGGCCCAGAATGGGGGAAAGGATATGGAACTTGGCTCTCCAGTGGATTTATATTTATAATGTCAGGTTGGGGACTAAAATTTGTCTTGCATTTTAATAAACTGGAGCAAAGCACAAGATGTTTGGTTATGTTTTCTCTGTGTAGGTATGACAGGGAGAGATTGTGGAACAGTGGTTTGCATACTGGAACTTGGTATGGTCTCCAAAGACTAAAGGAAAAAAAAACCTTCTGTCTTAGAAACAGGATGAGAAAAGCAGCTCTGTAGTTGGGTGTCTTCATTCTTATATCTTTAATATGTGGAATATATTTATATACAACAAAATAAAACTGGCTGCTCTTGGTGGATTCCAAGGAAAGATGATTGATAGTGCAACTGCTGTAATGGAATAAGAAGACTGGTTTAGATGGTGTCCAGAGCCTGTTCTTAGTGTATTGGGAAAGCTGTGTAAAAGCCTGGAGTGCTAGCAAACTCCAGGTGGCCTTCAGAAGAGAGAAGGGATCCTGAAGAAAAATGAGTAACAAAGTTAGAGATACAAGAGGATCTTATACCAGTACACAGTGTATCATGGATGCACTGCACCTTCATCACACAAGTCATAACCCTTCTTCCCCACTCACAATGGTGATTCCATAGATAATCTGTTTCCATAAGGCACGCTGCACTTTCAAGGTATGACAGTTTGAATCAGGTAAGTGGCATCGGAGAACAGGGTTTTTCTCCCTCCACCAGTGCTGCATCCTGATCCAATTCATGTCTGCACAGATAGTTGGCTGGTTCTAACCTTTAGAAGAAGCAGCAAAATCTTGATCATCAGTAGCCTGGTGCTGCATTTATTTTGGCCCTAACAAAATGGCAAACTTTTTCATTCAGTTCCAGGTCTTGGATTCCCAGGTCTTGTGAGTCTTAAGGAGACTTACATACTTGAGCTTTCAAGAGCTTTGGTCATGTTTAAAAATGTTCTTCCAGCTGTGAAGGTACTAAGAGGATTCTGAAGATGATCAAGATATGTGGCACACACGGGGAGGCTAATACTGGACAGAAGTGGCAGCGATACGGAGGTAGCAGTTTCCAACTTTATTAGTGAGTTGTTCTAGAATAGCCAGTCTGGTTTGCCTTTGTTTTCAATAGCTGCTTGAAATGCATTATAATAAACGTTATCCTACACATACCATTTGCCATGCATAGTGGCAATATTTATTTAAAATGTATTATTAAAGTGTAGACAGAGCAAAGAAGGGGCCTAGTGTCAGCAAAGTAAACAGCCTTATTTAACTTGCAGGTTGAACAATTTGTCTTAACAGCAGTAGCAGTAGCAGTAGCAGCTGCCGCCGCCTCCTCCTCCGCCTCCTTTGAACTGCAGAGCTGGCCTTATGAATCATCAAGTCCAGCCCCTCTCAAAGAGGCATAGTGGGGAATTGAACTCACAACTCCTGGCTCTGCAGCCAGAGACTCAAGCCACTGAGTTATCCAGCAATTCCTGTCTGTAGTTTTACTTAATATTGAAGATGGAACTTGCAGGGAACACTCCAGCTGATTTACTTAGAACCTTTTGAGCAACTGCCATAGAACCCTAGTCTATTTCAGAGGCCTTTCAGGCACACTGTATGTTTTGTGCATATGTTTATCATGGAAGTCCAGTGCATGTTTTTTGCTAGAAACAAGCAGTGTTGAGGGAAGGATCTGGAACAGAGAAACTGATGGGGAAAGGCATGCTAAACCCTTTCTCACTTCTCACTTCACTTTAGTTTGTGCCTCCGAAGCACCTTGACATGACTCTTCTCATTGCCAAACATATATTTGCTTATGCAAGCCCACATTTTTTAACTGTGCTGGGAGAGGATGGAACTGGCAAGTGTGTACAGATATCTCCTTACATCAGGAGAATGCTGTATGAGAAGCAGCCTTTACCCACAGTATCCTTTTCATATGCCAGGCTGCACAGAAGATTCCAAAAAAGAAGCCTTTACCCACAGTATCCTTTTCATATGACAGGCTGCACAGAAGATTCCAAAAGGAGGAAGCCAAGTGCATATTTATGGACCTAAATACAAATATGCAGACAGAAGTGTATGCAATGGGCATATACTGATTGTTGCCTGCGATATTTTAGATAAGAAATACATATTTTTCCCCATGTCCAGTAGCACTCTTCCTCCAGACATTTTATTCCAAACTCACTCCAGAAACAAGCTTGGATCCTAACTACATGAGCCCAAGACTTTAGTTTTACCCCCTGGAGTTCACAGTTTCCCTCCCTTTGAACAGCAGCATCTGTTGTTTTGAAAGCTGCTTGTCCAGTGTGAAAAGCAGTTTTCTATTCTTATGGGAAGCTGTAGATGTCATACACATGAAAATCTAGGGTTGTATAGGACCCATAAGCTTTGGTGTGTGACTGATATTCTCTGAACCTAGATTAGAGGTCATTAATCTTTTGAAAGGAACACTTCTTTTTGAAAATATGTTAAACTTACTATCTAGTGCTAGCCTTTGCTGGTGCTACATGTGTAATGAATGCAGAGGACTATGAGAGACCACTGTCTGTATTTCTCCATCTTTCTTGGAGGCTCCATGACAACATCTAGTACCTCAGTTCTTGCTGGGACATTTGCATCCCTTGTTTCTGGAATATAACCTGAACTGGAGGCATCGGTGGAAGAATTTAAAGTAATTTGTAGTTTGAATTTGACTGAGACCTGACTATAACAGAGAATATAATACAGTTTTTGATGGCACTAGTTCTGGTACCTCTCTGATAAGGGTCAGTAGACCTGTTCAGCCTGACATCCAGTGCAAAATGAATATTTAGAATAAGAGGCCCTTTCCTATGGGTCATGTCCTTCCTGCAGCTCCTCTACCTGCCTGCCCCCACAAAACAAAAGCAAAAAGCCGCAGCTCCTCTACCTGCCTGCCCCCACAAAGAAAAAGCAAAGTGTAGTGCTAATATACTGCCCTATTGTGCTTAAGTCACTCTTGAGTGGCTGCTTATATACTGCCCCATAGTGCTTAAGTCACAATTTACAATTTAATTATATAGCCTACACATTGCCCCTCCCCCAGCGAACTAGGTATTTCTTTTACCAACCTTGGAAGGCTGAGTGAACATTGAGCTGGCTGCCAGAATATGCTGGGATTGAATGCTGACCGAGCAGAGTTTTGAATGTAATACTGCAGTTTAACCACTGTGACATGATGTTAATTTTTTAAAAAGCCAAAAGAAGGCTGTTGCAAAGGCAGCCATATTGATTTTGTGCAGTAAAGCTCCCACCCCACTCCCACCATTTTTATAGGTACTGTATATTTCCTACGTAGGATCAAAGATAGAGCAATGCTAGTTATACAAAGAAATTAAAAAAAAACTTTGCCCAGACTTTCCAGGTCTTCTATACTCTGACCTGCAGTACACCGAGTTAGGAGTGTGTGCATCTGCTGCTTATCACCTCCCTTGGATTCTGTTTCTTTAGGATATCCACAACCACTTGGACGTTCACCAGGTAAGTTTGGCATTCATGTTCTTGCTAACAATTTATGAGGAATCCAGCTCTATTATTCAGGAATCCTATACTCTTGAAATCATCCAGTAAACTTTGTTGTTCGGCAAAAATGGCGTACAATTCCTTCTTGATGGTGGTTGACTGGATCTTGGTGGAAACACTGGTGTTGACTTCACCATGAGCCCATGCCTACTATGGGGGAAGTTGCACCTCCAACTTTTCCCATTGTAGATACTTTCAGTGTTGCAGGAACCAGGAGGGAACAGCAGGGAATGTTTGTTGTTGCATTTCTGAGAGACTCGTCCATTTCTTCAACAATTTTATGGAGCAGTCTTAGTTTCGATGGGAAAGTCTCTGACTTCTGAAGTAGTTCTTTTGGATGTTTCTGTTTCCCACCAGAAAAGAAAAGAGAATTCCCCCCCCCAATTATGGGGGGGGTCTTATTATAATGGGTCGTATTATAATGTTAAAATGCTCTGGGCACTGATGATGTTTGAACCTCTCGTTTTGAGGAAAGAAGATTTCACAAAAGGCCTAGCATATGCCTCTTTCTGAAGCAAACCAAGGTCAGTAAAGCAACAGTGTGTGATAATAGTGATTATTGCATTGCCATGGTGCAGGATTATATTTAGCACCAACAGTGGCTTAGTGAGATCTGAACCCAAAGTAATATGATATAAATCAATTTATAATTTACATCAAATAAAAGAATTGTAGGTGGGGGGAGGTTGCTGTCTAACATACGAGTTGTAAGCTAATTGTGAGAAGTGCCTGTGATTGTGGAGGCTTGTGATTCCAGTGTTGCGGGATGGTGATGAAAATGCACTAGTTTTTAGTTTAAATTTTAAAGGAACTATCCCAGGTGGTGAAGTTATTTTGAGGATATGTTTCAACAGCTTGTACAGCTCTTATAAAGTTCGGACTAAATTCCAGAGCATTCACCGCTCCCACAACATCCAAATCACCAGCCTGTGAGGTCTATAAATTACGTAATATTCACTCACCTGTCCAACCTCCATTGCCTCAATGGTCCTTTCAAGTCGTGTTACGAGCACTTATTCCCTCTCCCCCCCCCCTTTTGAACCACTGGCTTATTCGGATCTTCGACTCCTTTCTTTCAAGACGCGATTTCTTGTAGCAATAACTTCTGCACAATGAGTGAGTGAATTAGCTGCCCTTTGGGCTGATGCCCCTTATATACAATTCCACCTAGACAAGGTCATCTTATATCCTGATGTCTCCTTTCTTCCCAAAGTTGTATCAAGTTTTTATGTTACTCAATCTTTGATTCTTCCAACGTTATTCCCAGATCCTTCTTCAGATGTTGAGCACATGCTCCATTCCTTGGATGTTCGTCATGCTTTGTCATTTTACACTTCTAGGCCTAAGGACTTCTGCACTTCCTCTAGATTATTTGCTTCCATGGCCCACGTAAAGGCTTGCCTGCCTCCTCACAGACGATTTCTAGGTGGATAGTATCTATTCTCACCTTGGCCTATGAACTAGCTAGCAAAGCTCCACCAGATGCATTAAAGGCGCATTCTACGAGAGCTACTGTATGCCTACTTCGACTTCCTTATTGTGTGGCATTGATGTTTCTGACATTTGTCGAGCAGCCACTTGG